TTTTCCAGTCGTAATTTCAACAAATTTCTCTATTAGACAAGTTTTCTTTCAAGTTAGTATTTGCATAAAATTGTAATATTCCAAAATGTCTACAATTTTCAAATATTTAATTTGTAGTCAAGTTTCAAGAATTATTAGCATTTGAATACTAATTTTTAAAAAAAATTACATATTTCAAAAATTTTCATCTATCTATTTTTGAAAGAAAAGTTACAAATTTATTGGAAGATTTTTTTGAAATTTGAAAATAAGTAATAATCAAAGAAAATTAGAAATAATTGACAGTTATTTTTAAATCAAATAAAACAGTTTTAGTAAATCTTAAAAAATTTTTAAAGATTTTTTCAAATTTTAAAAAAACCTACGTAAAATTACACTTGCCTAATTTAATCAACAATTTTAAACTTGAAAAATAACAATAAAAAAGTAAGTAACTGATTAAAGTTACCGTAGTTAATATACTTTAAGGTAACTTTACTCAAAAGACATCAAAGCACAGAGCCGAACTTACTCTACACTGATTGGATGTATGTAAAGTAAGGTTAAGGTGTAACCTACCTACTATACTTCTTAAAGCATGGCTTTCAATAAGGTAAACTAAATTTTACCTTTATGATCATGCTTAATTTTCGGTTATTTTTTATAAATCACTATTTCAATAGAAGGTCACTCATTCACACCTGTCCAATAGCCACTGAGTTCGTGTTCCAAATAGCTCACGCCCATTTTTTCTTCATATATAAATAAATGTTTAGCGTAGTTTAGTCATTTATTATATTTGTTCTCTTCATTTGAGCTAAAAATTTTAAATTCCTAATTAGTTTATGCAAATTTTTTCCTAGAATTGAAATGAAGTGAACAAAGCTTGCTGACATAAACTTAATTAACCACGAGTCAGAAAATTCTACAAATGACCTCGATATTATTATTATCATTATTATTATTATTATGTTGTCCTATTGTATTTATTATTTTTCATTGTTATCTATGTTATTTTTCTAAATATGAAATTATGATTATTTAAAAATAAGATGACTTACAAAATTTGTTATTTGTTGGTATCATATTCCTGAGAACAAAATAAAAAATTACAAAGTATCTAAGTAGGACCAGATTACGATGTCTTGAAAGTGGCACTGGCACCAACAAGTTCTAATGATTCAGTACCTGAATACTGCAACCTTTTGACCTTCTCCTGTCTTTATTATCTATTATAGTTTCTTATAGTGATATTTCGTAGTTGTAGTCTAGTCTTTCAGGTCCTTAATACTATGTTAAAACTAGCAAATAAAAATACGGTTTGTACAGTTTGCACTTAATATCTACTGCAAATTTGAGAAGATTGTGATCTAAAAATTGTAAAGTTATGAAAAAATGCTAAAAATAATATAATTTCTGGCACATTTTGAAATATTAGAAGTAAAACAAAAAATATTTTTGAATTTATAAATGAAATTTTTGAAATCAATTAATTATATGGGATGGTTAAGCAGCAATCATAATGCAATGTGAATTTTTTTCAAGCATTTTGTCACTAAATTATCAGTCACGCATCTGTAAGAAAATTCAAGCAAAATAAAAAATTTTCAAAAATGAGTACATTTTTTTTTCTAAAATTATGACTTGAATTACAAATTTATTTTTATCTAAATTTTAAATCACAGCAAAAAAGAATAAAAATTTTAGCAATAGCTTTTGAGAGCTTTTTTTGGTCTAAAATTAATTTAACATCAAAATTCGCTTTTGAAAAAATCGAATGTAAGAGTTATGAGTTGAATAAGATTGATCAAATAATCCCAAACCACTTATAATTAATAATAATAATAATAACAATAATAATAATAATAATAATAATAATAATAATTCGTTTGGATTTAGCCAAATGTCCACATTATTAAAAATATAGCAAAAAAGACTTTGAACTTTGACATTAACGACTTTTTTGTTGTTTGTTCACAAAGCATTACTTTTACACGAATTTTCATTCAAATTTGAAATTTGCATAAATTACTCAATTAAATTGCTTTTGAGCTAAAAATGAATAGTATGAATTATTTGCTTTATGAATTATTTATTAGTGCTATATGTATATTAATTCATTTTATAACGTTCTTTCTCAATTTGAAATTTCAAATAATTATAATTTTTTTAACTTATTGTTGCACAATTTTTCAAATCGTCTATGCAATAAAAATATTAAACAATAATAATAGCATTAAAAGTAAAAGTAATAATAATAATAATGATAATAATAATAATAATAATATATTATTTTATTGAAAAATTGTTTAATATTTTACTTTTAATTATAATTATCATTATTATTATTGATTATTATTATGATTCACCCTGATTCCAAAAGATGCCTCAACAAAAGGTAATGACTTCAAGCCAATGACCTATGCTGAATCCTTACAAGTTGGCAAAAATATGTATGTCATTATTATTATAGATTAGGTATAGATAATAATATAAGAATATTATATTATTATTATTATTATTATTATTAACAAAATTACAATAAATGTAATCTTGTCAAATTTGTTGGTGAAAAATGTTTAATCTTACCTAATCTATATATTAAAATATTCTTACTGCTTGACATGGATATTTAAAAACTGTTTATTATCAAGTGTCGTCAATAGTATTTCCAATATAATTATCATTATCAATTGATAATATCACTTTTTCTGATACTAATAACATTTTATAGCATGAAGTATTGATGATAATAATGACTCCAATTGTCATCTTTATAACTATTATCGTCGTTATTATTGACTCACTCATGAAAATCATAATTATTGATATGATAACGTATAATTTCATCTTAATTTGATAATTATATTGATTATAACGATAATATAATTTCAGGAGAAAAAATAGGTACCGGCATAATCGAAGTTTTTCTGAAAAAACTTCAAATGGATTTAGCCGTCTACCTATTACCGCAAACTAGTCATTCTCTCGATTCACTATCATTGCTGATCAGATCAATGACTAAAAAATGTGATTCAATCGATAACAGACAATAATATATCTCTAACACTTTACAAAAACAATCAGACTAAATACTGCACTCATTACTTTACAAGGTATACCATTTTTTTAATTAAACCCTTAAATAATAATAATAATAATAATCGAATTCATAGCCTATAAACTTTATTTGATCCTTAATTAAAGACTTAAGCAATATTTTCCGGATAATAATAAAAGTAACATATTATAAATACTATGATAAAAATAGTTTTTTCACACATTATATATGTAATATAATTAGTATAATTATACTGCATGTATAATTTTCTTAATTCTAGCCATAGATGATCTACGAATTATACCAAAAACAGGAATCGAAAATAAAATAATTTAATTCAACTAAATGAGATTTATTAATAATGAAGCATACAGTAATAAAAAGGTAATTTGATTAAAAGATTAGAAAAAATGCTTAAAATAAAACAATACACAAATATGAAATGAAATGCTATAAGCAAAATAATAGATACTTTTATAGATAAATAAATTAATAAATAAGTAATGAGTGAACATTTATTAAATTTCAGTGAGAAAACTGGTTATAAATTAATATCGACAAAACAAAGTTGCAGCGAGTAAATGCCGCGCGAAATGATTTCAAATGAATCTCAAAGGTTCATCATAAATTTTTATTTATTTAAATTAATTTTAGTTACAGAAATTAATTACTTTCTTAATTAAAACAAATGAAAGTAAATTTTGATTAATTACATAAAGTATAAAATACTTTTAGCAGCTTCCGAAACAAAAAATTTGTGTTTAAAATCAATATTTTAAGTAATTTCAAATTTAATTCACTTTAATTTCTAGAAAATAATTTTTTTTAAATAAATTTGTGCTTGCGACAGATAAATTTTATCGAACGTAATGTTCATATTTACTGATATCAATTACATCAATAAGGTAACATTGAAAAAAATAATAATTACTTTATAAATCAATCAAGTCATATTTACGTATTTAAAATTTATTATTTCAATTTTTGTCACCGTAATTTTAGAATATTCAAAATTATTATTTATGATCTGGAAATTTGAATAACATTGGCAGAATCAAAATGTTAAATTTATTCATATTCTGCACCATACAGTGAAATTTTATACCTAGAAAGTGCTACTGTTTATATTAAAAGTCTAACAATTTTGTCAGAATAACTATAAAAAAACTAATTATAAAAGAGATACTATTTTCAAATTAATGTAAATTGTGCTCTCAAAAATTGACTAAATTTTTATTAGAAATTAAAAATCAAAAATAGACTAAATATTTATAAGAAATTAAACATTAAAATTGTAAATAAGTATTAAGTATATGAAATAACTTTAATAAATTAAGTAGACTGAACTGGAGTAATGCTTTTTAAGATTATTGGCATCCAGTGCTGAAATATAAATATTGCATGAGATTTAAATTTATTAAGAATAAAATAAAAAATAATTCAAATATTAACTGAATATTATTAACTTAACTTACTGGTAAACCCTCCCTGAGATTAATATATTCATCCTAAAATATTTATAAATAATAAAATCAATCAATAAAATATTTTTTCTCGAAAAATTTGTGATTACTGGCAAAGTTATCTATTACAGCTCCACTCTCGATGCACCGATAGGAGAGAACAGTTTTTCAGGTATCTTTTGTATTAATAATATTTACGTATCTTATATATCAGTTTTAAAAATACATTGCTCAATTATTAATAATTATTTTAAATAAATATTATTTTAATTATTAAAAAATTTTAAAGGTTTTTTTAAATTCGCAATTTAATTTTCTTAACATTTATCAAATTCAAAAATTTCTTTGCTATAATTATAATTGCTATGCTTAATTGCAAATTATGTTTGAATAAATTTTAAAAAATATCCAATTTATAAATCCAAAACTTGAATTTATTTGCATACTTTGTAATTATCAGATAAAATAAAATAATAATAATTATTTTTATAGAATCAATGAAAAATGATGAAAGTGGAAGTGATCAAATCGCAGATTTTCAGAATAATTCACAAAAGGTAATTTAATTTAAAAAATGTTGAAAAATTAATTTTAATTAATTTAAAATACATTTTAAATGCATAAATTAATTTTGCTAATGGTTTTTACAAAGCATTATTCAACATTATTAATATATTTTAATCTTACAAATTTGTGCATTTTAATTTTTTGTATATAATACTTGAATATATATATGTATATAATATTTGAATTTAATAAATTTTAAGCAAAATTGATAATTTCAGACAACGTTATCAGTTTTAATGGAACAGAAGCAAGAAACATTGAAAATGGTCGGTAATCAACAGTGTATGAATAAACGAATTTTCAAGGATATAACAAATTGGTAAAAGAATTTATTGCTGAATTAAAAATACAATTAATGTATATTTTTAATTATTCAATCGAATAAAAATAATTAAAAGAAAATTTTATTAAAAGTAGATTTATTTCTAAATTAAAATATATTTTTAATTATTTAATAGAATAAAAATTAAAAAAAAGGAAAATTTTATTGAGAGTAATAATTTTTATTTCAGCCGAAAAAAAGCATTAAGAGAAGAAACACGGAAAAAGACGAAGAATCCGTCAAATCAAACTACAATTACGGATTTTGCATTAGTGAAACAAAAAACATATATACATGATAGTTATCAAATCACAAGCAGTGAAAAAAATGGAGAAAATTCAAAAAAATTGAATTTATTTGATCGTAGTGATTCAGATAATAGTATATCAGATGATAACTCAAATCGATATACATTTCGATCAAAATTTCAATCGGATATGAACAAATCATTGGATAATTTCAAGCTATTAATGAATAAAAAAATGGATGAATTTATGAAAAATTCGAATAATTCGGATTATAGTGATTTGGATAATAGCTCATATTTTACTTCATCTCGATCACAATCTCCAATGGATATCGATCATAACTATGAAAATAATCATACAAAATGGAAACAAAACAGTTATTGTGAATCATTAAGTTATATCGATAAAGAAATATGCCAACTACATAACAGTTTCAATCAAATTCTTGGCAAACGTTTCAGTACTACAACAAGTGATGATTGTAATGATGGACAAGCATCGAATGCAAAACGGAAAAAAGTAAATTTACTAATTTATCAAATTTAGTAATTATTAAATTACTCAATTTTAATTTTAAATATTATTAAAATATTTGAATTACAACTTTTCTTCTGTCAGTTTTATTATTATAAAGCAAAAATGAATCTGAAACAATTTAAGCTACAGTAATTTTGTTTTGCATATTTTGCTAATTAAGCTTACAGTATCAAAAAATAGTGTTCTGATGTATTTTTTATAATTATTACTTATAGAACGAAAAAAAGAAATGACAAAGTTTATTTATAGACTGTTGATGAAGAATCGCATACGAAAACAACGAATACTGAAAAAACAACAACAAATAAATATTTTTCAGAAACTGTAATTGATTATTAATTTTATTTTATCAAGTATTTTTTTATTATTTAATTTTGTTAAGTTTATTTTATAGAATGAAATTTTACAATAAAATTTTGTAGGTTAATCCGATTTAATTAAAATTGTACTTTTAAAAATTTACGGTATAATTTTCATCCAGCCAAAAAATTTTGTACTCAATCTGAAGATTACAAAAATTTATTCCCTTCGGAATATCTAAAAATTTACTATGAAAATTTTTCTGAAATTTTTAGATTGAATAGTTTTTATTAGTTAATTTTATAATGTTTTAAATTTGAAATTCGCGGTTTATTATTATTTTAAAAAATTGTATAATTTTTTTTGACGTAAATTTTGAGTAATAATTTCAGAAATATTCACTGCCTATCATTACAAAGCCATCAATTCTTACAGCAGGGTTTGCGTGCATTGAAAAACTGGTACTAAAAAATTTGATTGAATCCATGGATTTATGTGAATTCGCTAAAAAATATATTCTTGTTGATTGTCGATATCCGTATGAATATAAGGGTGGACATATAAAGGTCAGAAATTTGCATATACTGACAAAAAAACATTTTTTTTCAGGAAAATATTTAATATATTAAAAAAATATTATATATCTGAAGCAGTCTGTATTCATATTTGTTAGTATTTCGTACTATATTTAGGCTTGATGTAAGTCAAAAGTTTAAATTTTAATTAGTTGAAAATATTTAAAAAATTAATTATATCTGTTAATTGCAAAATATAAGTATATCACAAATATTTTACAAATATAATAAAATAAGCAAAATATAAATATATCACGAATATCTATAAATATGATAAAATAGGCAAAATATAAATATATCACAAATATTTATAAATGCAATAAAATAAATAGAGCACATTTAGGGAAATTTGTGTGAATATATTTTTTTTATTGAAAATTTTACTACAATTTCAAAAAAATTTGCAACTGATGCTACGAGCAAACTAATGTAAACAAAAATTTGAATAAATAATTAATGAATTAATAATTTAGGGAGCTTTGAATATTCATAATCCGGTGATATTAGAAGCAACATTTTTTGATCATATTGATACTAAAAAACTTAGTTACAAACAAGAAATAATTCCAATATTTTATTGCGAATATTCAACTGTTAGAGGACCAATGTTGTAAGTTAATTGTTATCAATTTTTTTAGATAATTTTTAATTTTTATTAAAATGTTTAAAAGTAATATAAATTATTTAAAAAAATTTTTTATTTTTTCACTTTTCTAAAAAAAATTTTAATTTATTTTGTTAATCATTTTTTGCTTTTCACAGTTTAATTCGCTTCTCAAATTTTGGCCACATTGAATTCTGGTTTTAGTTAATAATAAAGAGCTATGGAAATAATTTTGGAATAAACCAATTATTTATTTATTTTTTATTTTTTTGAACAAATTTAAAATTTAAAAAAAAACGTTCATTAAAAAATCAAACATTAATTTTACAATTTTGTTCAAATATTCTAAAGTTTTTTGAATTGTTAAATTTTATTCAAAAATTTATTTTAGAGCTTCATATTTACGAAAAAGTGATCGTGTTCGAAATTTTCGGAACTATCCGTTTCTTTTTTACGATGAAATTTATGTTTTAGAAGGCGGATATAATTCGTTTTTTAATACTGATGATTTAGGTTATAAGGTAAGTAATTCATATGTTCTTACTGTTATCCACAATTATTATGGTATTATATTGTTTCATTCATTTCAATTATTAATAATTATTATTAATATTTTGTCAATTTAAAAAAAAAATTCACTCTGCAGTAATAGTAGCATATTTTTTTAAAATTGTAACTTATATTAATATTATTAATAGTATAATTAATATTATTGACTTTACATTAATATTATTGATCCATTTATTTAAAAAAAAATCATCTCTGATTGATTTATAAAAAATTATTCTGAAGTAAATAAAATAAATATTAATTAAGAATTTATGCGAACCAATGGGATATATTACAATGCGTGATGATAAGTATGCAAATGAAATGAAAGCATTCCGTAATCGCAAATTTCGATCTGGAATTGGCTTTGAAACTGGAATGTTTGAAACAGCAATGATTCGTAAAAATTCAAAATTTCGATCAGCACCTCCAATACATACAGATTCAGAATCTCCAAGTACATCATACTTTGTTTCACCAAATTCTTCATGTAAATTTTCGCCTAAAAATACTATTTCAGCAATACTTTTAAATTTATCTACAACAAATGAACAAAGAAATAGTATTTAAATTTGAATTTTTATCAAAATTTTAATCTAATTAGATGAAAAAAATTCAGATATGATTGATTGATCAGTCTTAATTACTTTCAATTTTAGCAATGTTTGTTGATTTTTTATATCATTTTATTATTTAGCTACATCGTGCAATATTTAGCTCAATCATATTGGATTATTTAGTTTAAAGCTAATATTTGATTATTTGTCTATATATACATTAGCATATTATCTTTACTTATTTACTCAAATTGTCTGTCAAACAAAACAAATGGTATTACATTAGAAAAGTAGAAAAAAAAAGTTTGAATTTAAAATGAACTATTTTGAACAAATAATTGGAATTTTAAAAATTTACTAACTTAAATCTGAATTAGTAAACAAGACAATGAATTTGAACTGAATTTGATAAAGTGAATAAGTTTTTATTGCAATTTTTAATTTCGATTTCATGAAGTTAGTAAAAATTTTATTCCAATTCAAGTTTTTGTTTTTTGTGATATATTAGTGATGAATTAATTTGAAATTTTGATTCTAATGTAATTCTGTTTTTGAATTTTATTACAATTTTTATGATTAAAAATATATTTAACAAGTGAACGAATTATTTTTCATAATTTTTATTATGTATTTTTTGTAATTTTTTACTTATTCATACTTTTTATGACTTATCGTGAGTTAATGTCTGATGAAAAACAATCAATTATTACATCAAATTATAATTATTAACTTATAGTCTTTCTGTCTTCAGCAAATAACAAATACAACTACAATTGCTGCAGTTCTTTCACTTTTATTACTTTATTTAGTGTGTGGTATTTGATGTGTATGCAAAATATTTTGAATTATTACTCATATATTTACTTATATTCTTTTATGACTTTTTGATGAGCTCATAAAAATTATTTCAATTGATTTTTTTAAAAAGTAAGTTATTCGATATTTTGAAAAATTAATTGGGTATAGAATTTTTTGCAATTTTTGTGATGATATAAATGTTTTTCTATTTTTAAGTAAAGTTTTCTAACAATATCAAATTGTTTTTTTTTGTATTTCAGTCAGCTAAAATTATTACACCTACTTTCAATTATAACTACAGTTGTATTTACTAATTGCTCCATGTATTTCCGGTAATTATTATTATTATTATTATTATTATTATTATTATTATTATTATTATTTTCATTTATTTTTGGCGGCCGATATTTTGATAAAATCATTATTTAACGAAGTATGTAGAAATTATTTATCATAATTATGATTGTGCATGCAATGTGAATGGTCAGCAGTTAATTGTGACCTATTGTATTACAAAAAAAAAAAGAATGCAATAAAAATTAATTCAATATGTTTTTGGCACAAATCATTTTTTAAAATTCAGAATAGTATATTTTGAAATTAATTTTGTAGCGATTGAAAATAGTTGATTATATTTTGAGAGCCAAATAATTGTGTCAAAGTCGCATTAAGTAAGGTATATTTTAATAATATTAAGAGATAATATCATGCTAATAGTTAACCTTAGATTTGACGAAATATAGCAAGTACCATCATCCACGAGATCAAATTGTTATCACACGAGATCAAATTGCTAACACAAGATTAAATTGTGATCACACGAGATGAAATTGTGATCACACGAGATCAAACTGTGATCCCACGAGATGAAATTGTGATCACACGAGATCAAACTGTGATCACACGAGATCAAATTAATACATCGCACGGGATCAAATTCCTATCATTTGATTAATGATGTTATCAGTACTTTTATGCCATTATCCACTTTGAACATATTCAGGATGATCAATCTGAACGTATCTCGTTATGAAATATGACTACTCACGTAAGTGCTTATATGCTTATATGAGTCAGAAAACTCATCATTTTAATTTGTATAGTTTTTTATCAATACCCACAATAATACTAGTATCAATAAAAGTTAAAAATGAGTACACCCTTTCCCGTCATGTTTGTATTAATTTTTTTATAGCTATGTAAATATAGCCGTTTTATTTATGCTGGTTAACTATCATTATGATTGCATTTTATAATAAAATTTATTACGTAACGTGCTTTAGCACGTGAGTTTTCTGATTCATATAAGCATATAAGCACTTACGTGAGTAGTCATATTACATAATGAGATGCGTTCAGATTGACCATCCTGAATATGTTCAAAGTTACGTAATAAATGTCACGGAATGTTTTCATTCATTCTCTTCATCTCCTTCTTTCTCATTAATCTCTCTACTCTCCAGATTCTTAGAATCTTTTTCCTTTTCAAAATTTCTCTCAATCTCTTTGCTCTTCAGATTTTTGCAATCTTTCATGATTTTCTTGACTTTCCTGTTCTCTAAGCTCTACTCATTCTCTCATCTTTCTTCAATCTTAACTTCTTAACAGATGTTATCATTCCTGTAACTCTACAAGTGTTGCCTCCTTCTCTTGTTCAACCCTTCCTTTCCTATCTCTCTTACCTCCACTCTTCATCGTTACTACTGGCGCATGCTTTCATTGACTTGACGGCAAACATAAACTATACGTGGATATTTACGTGAGTTTATAATTGAAAAATATTCTCACAAAAAATGAATTTCGCTATTTTTAATTTGATGCATTTTGTGAGAGTAATTTTCATGTTGGTTCATATGCTTTGATGCGCATGGTGCGTTAATTACTAACTTTATTGTGATGAATCTTACGCAAATGATACGTACTTCATTGTTCAATACGTTTTATCTCAGTTAGATCAGGTCCCAGTAACTGATTACTCGAATAAAATTACAATTATCTGCTGAAATTGCCTTAATGAAGATAAAAATTCATGAAGACGAACGCACTGACATCTCAGTAATACCAAGTTCGGTAGCAATCTCACCTCGTTGGTACTGCCCTTATACCTAGTAAATGTTGAGATTAG